AAAGTGCTTCCATCGCCTGAAGTAGTTGTGAGGAGGTTACACCTGGCTGTAGACCAACTAGTCTCCTATTAGCCCCACAATGCCTCTCTAAGGAATATCCTCCAGATATTCCGGAGGTGAAGAAACTTGCCTTTGGTACATGGCTGCTTGTAGAGCAACACTTGCGCCAAAACCCAATACGAGACATGGGAATGGTCAGTGCTGCTCCTCCCCACCATGGTCACTCTACAGCAGAGCCACAGGGAGAGTTAATTTAAATAAAGAGCACCAGGAGGAGTGGTGGTGGGGAAGGGGCTGAGCTCCTCTTCTGCTCTCCTAAGAGCAGCTGGCAGCAGATCATCCAGGACCTATCCTGAACACCGTATCTGAGAACATCAGCTCCTCACCAGGATATCGAAAGAGCAGTGTAACAAACAGCATTAGAGAGATTCACAACCGAATCAGGCATTTATGTGAGTAAGAACAGCATCTGCAGTGACACTACCTCAAATGAAAATCATAACAGCTATTGATTCTCCTGCTTCAGGGTATAAGCTGCCTGCCAGCTGGGGTCAAGGGGAAATCTCCCCCCATAGGGTTGTATTGCACAATTATGAGCATTATGGGATTTTTATGCTTTCCTTTAAGACATCCGGCCTTGGCTTCTGGTGGAGACAGGATACTGGGCTGGAAGGACTATTGGTCTGTTCAGCTCAAACAGTTTTTATGTCCTAATACAAAATTAATGGTTCTCCCTGAGACTCCACGCGGCAAAGCTGCCTGCTCTGTGCATTGCAACTGGCAGAGCAAAAGCGGGGCTGAAAACTTCATTCTTCCCAATCCTCCTCGATGCAACACAACCCTCAGGCCCTACCCAGGCTCACGCACACTAGCTACCGTCACCCCACGCTCTCTGGGGATCAACAAGTTGATGCCAGACCCTGACGGGCGCAGCATGCTGCAGTCCTGAGCTCAAGGGACCCCTCAGCCTCCTGCCTCCTAAGCTAGGGATACCAGATCCACAAACCTCTACAGCAGCAGCTATAATGCAGGTGGGTTGCAGGCACCTGTGTCCTTTAAACCAAGCCTTCTGACTGTTCCACCTCTTCAGTGGCCTCTCTCGCTGACAAAAGGGCTGTCAGGTTAGGCAGGCTGGGAAAGCAGAAACGGCTGTCTTAAAAACTGTATTTCAGGATGCACATGGAGGTCCCTTCTGTTTGTATGGAACAACACCTCGTTCATCATTCAGATAGCCAGACAGAGCCACTCATCTTCATTTGACAACACCTTTTATCTACAAACGCCCAGATTAAGACTCACAGCCAGCCTGTGAACTGGTCAGGATCTTTTTTACCGAGCCAGGGGCACGCTTTCCTGGCTTACATCCAGCACGGGGCTGGAGACTGGAGAAACTGCTTGCTCCGATCATGACTTTTACAGCAGGACTTTTTCTGAAAAGTCACCGTGCCCCCAGAGACTGCAGCAAGCAGTTTTTGTTGAGCTTATTATTTTGGTGTCTAAGTGGAAGCCGAGTTCTGCAATTGCAGTGCGTGTGGTTGACTTGTGGCTTGCCCTAAGGGAGACAACGGCACTGCTGGGAATCCTGACCCAGGAGTCCTGACTCAGGCATTCTGTAAAACCACAGAGCCTGCTCTTTCCATGCCCGTCTTTGTGCTCCTGTATCTCTGCTGGGGCCAGAACAGCGCTGGAAATGGCAGGATTTGAACTGGTTTTGCAGAGGCAGTTGGGGATCTTGCTGCTGCCCTGTGCTCGGGCACAGGCTGCCGGTCACGCAGGGGCGGGGAGGGCTAGAACCCCTCTTTAGCATGGACTGTTCTGCAGCTGGACCCACGGCAAGGAGAGGTTTTAGCAGCAGCTGTCTACATGCAGTGGAGCTCCAGAAGACTCTTCCCTTTGGCGTTGTGTCCAGCTGCAACAACTTCCACCTTCCTTATCTTCCTACTTCCCACTAGATCCTCTCGAACACCTCTCCATCCCACTGAGGCCACCCCAGAGCTCCCCCATCTCCTCCATGCCACTGCCATTCCCAGCTGCCTCCCACTCCCTGCACGGCCCACAGCCCTTTTCCCACATCCCCTGCCCACCTTGGCTCACCAGCTGGCTGGGTGAGAGCCAGGTCCAAGGCTCCCCATGCCACACGTGCCCCACCAGCCTGCTCACACCGACTGGCTGGCCGGCCACCCAACTTGCTGCTCTGGTTGAACAAACAGCTTTGGAGGCTGCATGTGGTCCCCAGGCCTGCGGTCGGACCCCAGACACCTCTACTCACAGGTCAGATTGGGCTGGAGTCAAGTCAACATGCACCAGAACGACTGGAGCAAAGTTGGGACTGACAGGCATCCTCACCACATACACTGGGTTGACTTAAAGGATGATATAAACATCTCATAAAGCCCATAATTGTGCAACGCTACCTTACGGGGGGAGCTTCCACCCTGACCCCAGCAGGCAAGCAGCTTATTTCACTGGGGAAAAAAAACTAAAAAGTTAGGACCTGACTCCAAAGCAGGGAATTTCTCTTGGTGGTACTTAGACCCCAGTGGCAAACTGAATGCACGGAATGATGAGGTAGAGAACCAGAGCCAAAGCCAGAGCCCCCAAACGCATCTGGTGACACTAAAGAATACTGCAGCCATTGCTCTGCACCCCTCTAATACCAGCACTGTGCTAAACTCTCCCCTCACCCCCCCAGCTCTATCCATCTAAGGGAACAATGTCTTTATTCATATAAGGACGTTGACCAAATCATAAAGAAGATGTAATGACATTGTCTTGGCTGACACACTGATCGATGCTTTTCATGCAAAATTATGCTTTCTGCAACTAATAAATATTGATCTTTTTTGTTCCTGTGTAGCACTGCAATAAAGAGTGACTTAAATATCTGCCAGCACTGAGCATTCTCCATCACGCTTCCAACCCCCAACTCCCCTGCAGCCACCCGGCAGCACCCCTTTGCATTTCTTACTGTTCTTACAGCTGTCTGAGCCCACCCGACACTGATGCCAGAGCACCGTGCCTCATCCCTAGGAGGGCACAGCATCTCTGTGAACATCGACTTCCCTTTATTCTTCTGTCCTTTGAATGGTACTTCTGTTACAATGGTTCATAGGAAGAAGCAGAAAATAAACGGAATTGGAGTGAGTGCTGGGGAAGGGGAGCAGGGTCATGTCCTGGGCACGTTTAGGATAATAAACAGGAGAAACTGGGCCAAGCGCAGAACGAATGGAAACGTTTACAACTACTTGGCAGAGGAATCGTGTAAGCGCTAATGGGCACGGTCAGGCTGCTTGAAACTCCTTAAATCAAAGCTGCAGAGCTCGGTAGCAAGCGCCTGGCGACAAGCTTTGAAGGACACAAGGCATCCATTCAGCCCTGCTGCACAGCCGGGCTCAGCGTGGCGGCTGCCCGGCTCTATTTGCTCCTCTGCTGCAGAGGGGTCCAGCAGCATTCTGCATTTCACACCCACTTGGCTCCCTCACCTCCACACCAAAGTGCAAAGCAGTGGTGGCTCAGGCCTGCTCCTGTACGCAGAAGGGAGCCCAGGGTGATGTGATGGTACCTCTTGGGTTGGGTTCCCAAGCTCTTACGGGGCTCTGGGACCCTGTCTTCTCCAGGCCTCCCCCCACATGGTAAGAAGAGGATTTCCATGTCCCCCAGGAGCCCAGAGAAAGGAGCTGCACTGGAGAACATGAAGTGTGAACTCAGATACAGGACTGCAGATAGATTGATGATGACAGGCGGAGGCCTGGGTTCAGTCACTCCTGTCTGGCAGACACGCAATGATTTAATTTGTTCACTATGCATATTTTGGGAGTAGATTGCTTTCCTTTGCTGAAAGGACCAGATTCATACCCATCGTGAGCACAGGAGTTAAGCTGCAACAGTGAACCAGAAAACAGGAAGGGCCAAAGGTCTCCAGCGCTCTGTACAATCTCAAGAATTCCCATAGGTGCTGCACACACATATATACACACATACGCACCGACTGTACCAGATGATCCTGCTCACCGCTCCCCTTTCTACCATCGATCTGTCATTATTTCCCTGTTCTGGGGGAGCTGCTGTAATGCATCCTGCTCCTTTTCTTTCTGAAGACTGCTCAGTCAGGCAGGGACCTGCCCTGCCTTTGGTGACCTGTGTCAGTGCCCAAACGGTGTTCAGGGTGACCCAAGACTTGGGACCGTGCCCCACTCCCCACCCTTCCAGCACAAAACTTGCGTTCACCAGCAGTTTTAATGTGTCCTATTTCCCCCTTCCCCATGCAGACAGCTGAGTGCTGAGAAGGCATTTAAGGCAAAAAACCTACAAATCAGAAGATACTGCCTCTGGACTACGGAGCTTAAAATATGATGGCACTGCCCCCAGATTGTGAATGGGTTCACTGAAGAGCTCCCCCAGCCCTGATACCCTCCCCTTCCCCACCCCCCTTCTGGGAAAATTGCAGAGGCAAAGGGCTGCTGTTCCAGCAGATTTGCAGGAGTGGGAGTTGAAGAATCAATGAAGCTCTGAAAGCCAGTGGGGAAAGTCATTCTGCACCTTCCTGACACCAGGAATAAATGATTCAGCGGGAAAGAAAAAAAAAATACAACAACCCTCAAATGAGGCTGGAATTACCCACTGGAGAGATATTTCATCTTGAGGAATTGTGTTTGCTGCAGCGTTCATCTCACTGAGCCACAGCAAGGCTTTAATATCCAGCAAAAGGTCAAACCTAAATGGGAATTGTTACAGCTTGCCGGAGCCCCCAGCGTCAGCCTGCCTGCACACACACGATGAGCTCCCAGCCCCTCACGTGGGGCAGGCCAGGAGTGAGAACCAAACCCAGAAACACTCCGTGCACGTCACAACACTTGAGGCACTCGCAGGCCTTCAAGTGGCTCTACATTCATCAGCCCTTCCCACCCCTGTGAAGTACTATCACGCCCAGTTTATTAACAGTCATCTTTCCTGTTAATTAGGCAGCACTTGCCATCTTGCAAGCCCGCTCCCAACTCTACCTTTGCAATCTTGTCACGTTGAAGTCTCAGGGTCTGGAGACGAAGCACACAGGGCTCGGTGCACGGGTCCCACTCCGGTCACAAGGCGCGCTCCCTCGCTGCCGTCCCTGCAGCACAAAGATCAGCAGTTAGCTCTCAGCAGCCAGGCAGAGAGCATCGCTGGGACCGAGGAGCACTCCATGCCTGTGCTCTGCCACCCAACAGCAGCATCGCACAACTGGGGGGCACTGCTTTGACCCAAAGGCAGTGTTTGTCAGCGCTGCTCTTCAGCCTCGCCTGGTCTTAGTCTGCAAATCTTTGCTCGCCCCCTCTGCGGTTCAAGAAGTGGGGACCTTCTGCCACTGCAGCACTGCGTGCCGTGGGTGCCCAGGCAGCAGGGCCTCATTTGTGGTGGAAGGCACAGAGGCTCTGCCATCCTCCTTCACATATCTCCTGTCTATATCCCTATATAACAAAGGATAATAAACGCTAGGAGCGCGGTTGTACATCCTTCCTTTCCTGCCAGCTTGTACAGGGCGCTCTGACATGGCCTCTCTCACTCCCACAGCAGAAGGGACAATCAGCAGTGGGTTTTGCGACACTGCCAAGCTCAGGAAGCATCACAGAGCTACCAACTGGCCACAGCAAACTCAGCTGCCCTCCCTTCCAAAAAAAAATGACCAAAAGATCAGCTGAGCCCACGCAGCGCCCAGGGAGGCGGAAGATGCGCCCAGGAGCCTGAAGACCTGCAAGCAGCACTTTATCATAAGGCCTGAGCCTTGCTGCTCAGGACAGCAAAAGACTCTGCTGCTTCAGGGGCCAAATCCTGTAGAGTGGGGCTCTTCTCTGCCAGAGAGAACGGTGAGAACACAAGACGCAGCAGGAGGCAGTCTCTATGCCAAAGCCAAGGCCTGAAACAGGGAGTAGGGCTGAGCTGGACCACAGAGGAGCAGCTCCCTCCCCGATGGGCTCCCAGACACAGTTCAGCCCACGCCAAAACACGGGAGCACAGCCAGTAATGTCCTGCCATTGCTCCCTTTGGAAGAGGGACTGGGCTACAAAAGGAACAGACCTGTCTGCTTGGGTGTCTTCAGCAGGGTGAACTGAGGGTGAACGCTGGGAGCTTCCAGATGTTTCCACTCAAGGGATTTAATTGAGCAAGGCACCTGTTTATCGTAAAGGGAGGTGGGATGTCAAGGCACTTGAGGGCTGCAGGGGGCAGCTGTCAGTTCCTCCTCATTTGGAAACATCAATGCTTTAAATATATTTCCCAAGCAGAACCACAGAGACTTTCTACCAGTGCCCTGGTCCTGACCTGCTGCCCTGGCAACCGGCTCTGCCCCTCGCTCTTGGCCTGTCGTGCCTTCCCCTGCTCACCTCCTGCATCGCTAGTGCTCCTGGCTCTGAGGAACCCCAGCCTGCTCCGACTTCTTGCTTAAGAAAGATGTTTTCATGAAGATCTCATTGCACGCTTGGATCTGCTTGGGAATATTTTAATCTCCAGTGTGTATGAGTCCAGGGTGGTCCTCTGGGGCTGTGGGAGCACTCTCTCTCCTCATGGCCCCCCAGGCCATTTTGTTCTTCCCTCTTCTGCTTTTGGTACTGCTGCAGTCTCTCTCCTTCCACACATCTGCTCAGCCTCTCCTTGATAATTTATACTCTTCTCCCTTCCCTCAGACTCAGCTCTGCCCTCTGAGAGTTCAGTGCCCCTATCCCAGGCCACAGCAGAGTTCTCCAGGAATGAATTAGGCAGACAGGAGGTGAAGGGAAGGCAGAGGTTCCCAGAGAGCTTCCTGCCTCCTCTTCACCATGACAAATGTGAGAGTCCAAGAGAAGGAAGGAGTGAATCGAGCCCATCCCATAACACCCACCACCCTCCCAACAGGGAACAATGAAGGTCAGTGAGCTGAGCAGAGGGGGATTTTACCTAAAGAAGAGCTGAAAATCTGCTCGAGCTTTGAGGTTCGTAACAAAACCGGACCCAAACTACAGGCAAACTCCAGACCCTGCAACAAAACGGGAAGATTTGAGAACTAGTCACTCTCCTGTGCCTTCCGCCTTCCATCTCAGTCATCCATCACGACCTGAAGCCCTCCTGCTTTCCTGTTCTGGACCATACTAAACTCATCCAAGGCAGCCCCATCCTACCGAGCAATCCCAGCTGCTCTTTCAGCCCTTCCTGCTGAACAGACTGCCATCCATGATGGGCAACACCCTGGGTTCAGTGCTGATGTGGACCAACACCCACTGGGGAATCACCTGAAACTACCACTTGCATTTTCATTTGTGACTTAAACCAGACTTCGTTATGTACAGAACGATTAAATTTTGCTAAGGTTAAGACGAGATAATTTTTTGTTCAAATATTTATAGTTAGAGCTCACCAGAAAGTCAACAGGATTCTGCTGGACAACGCTCAACTATCCACATCCCCCAAAGGAAAACACGGTTTTTATGTGGTATTTAAAACATCCAGAGACATCCAAAATTCAGCCCTACTGACTGTTCCCGGGCCAGGCTGGGTCGGTGCCATACATCCATGCCTCTGGGGGAAGCAGGAAGAATTTGCTGGCCTTTTCTTCCTCATAATGGTGAACATGTGGACACAGCCAGAGTGGGTCACCAGCCCCTCACATGGTCATGCTAACAGAGGAGGTGGAGACCATCTCCGAATTGCAACCAGCAGCCGTATACTAGGGAAGCCAATGCTGTGGAAAATGGGGTCAGATTGCTTCTCCCCATGTTCAGCTTTGTCGAGCTGTTTGTGTCTTCTGGATGCAAGACGTCCCTGGCAATGAACCAGAGGTGTCATTTGAAGATCTCATCCTTTCTATTAGGACGTTTAAATTCAAGACTCAAACTTGTGGTTGGCAGGGAACAGGGGCAAACAAACAGCAGAACAATCCACTGTCAGTTCCTGACAGCCCAGCACAGGGCAGCCAGGCCAGCCCACAACAGTTATCCCTCCTGTCGGTGGGGAATGTTTGCGTACAGAAGTAGTAGTTCGAGGGCCTGTCACAGATTTAAGCCGCTCAGGCTTAAGCATGACAATAGAAAATCAAAAAAAAAAAAAAAAACAACCGACAATAAGTGTACTGCAAAATCAGGGCTTTGTTCCCTCCTCTAAAGGGTCTGTTGACCACCCCCAGGGTGCTTCCTGAAAGTCAGGCTCTCTTATGCTCTCCCGTTTGGGTACCTGCCTCACAGCTACACTGCAGAAGCAATGTTTCACTAGCAGAAGGAAGGTTGAACTCACCCACAGCTGCACTAGACATCCGAGGGCATGAGGAACGTCCCCCACTCACTCAGAAGCTCCTGACTGCTTCTAAACTTTTCTGTTTGCTGCTCCCCCCACCCCTAGGCCCTCTTTTTGGCATGTCAACCTCCATTTCAAGCTCTCCTCACTCACTTCTGCGACTGTTTATGTCTTTAGTGCATGCGTCTGAGGTTTAAGGGGTATTTGGGTGTTAAGTTCGACAAAGCTTCTGTGGCAGATGCAGAAGCTCAGGTAGAAATCACCCTCTCCCTTCTCTGCTCCTTTACAAAGGTCAAAAGGTGGCAGAGAGAAGCTGACCTACTGATGGGCACAGGCTGAATCCCTGTGTGAGGAGCTCTGAAGGGAGAAGAGAGATCTTCAGAGGTTACTCCCACGGGATGAAGGCCAAGTTGATTTAACAGCCTCCTTTCCCTGGGTGGACAATCAGCTTCCCCAGGGAGTCGTCGACTTTCTCAGACTTTTCAAATAGGCAGTGCCTTTCTGAAATGAAGCTCCTGTCTTTGAAGATTTCACATCTACCTCCCAGTGCCCTGGGCACTGAGTAAGCAAGCTCTCTGTTCACATACACTTTGTTCTCACGCAACCACGTCCTGCGAAGGGCTCAGCAGCAGCTTCATCCCATGCCACTTTCCTCTCTGCTGGATGCAGAAACATTTCCAGGCAGCCGCGGTGTGTGCGTGTGACCCTGGCGTGATCCCCCAAATCCACCAGGCTCACAGGGAATGCAGGAGTGTACACAACTCCTTCCTCTCGGTCGTCACCATCTTCCCCTCCAACAGGGCAAGCTGCAGGCCTCCAGCCGGCAGGTCAGCCTTCCCCCTGTGCTGCTGAATAAGGAAACGCTGAGGCGGGAATGCAGACAATATCCTAAACAAATCTGCTGTTTACAAAGTTCCCTGTAAACTGTTTACATTGCTGGGGAGAAACCACGGAGGAACAGCAGCTGGAGCATGTTCTTCCCAGTGCTCCTGTGGGAGTGGAGCTGATGCATGTCTGGAAAGGGTGCAAATGTATGAGGGAAAAGAAGTGGCCGGAAAATCCCAGCACCACCCATTCCCGCAGCCTGCCGGGACCTCTGGCTACCTCAGCATTGCCTCCCTGAGCACACTCCCAAGGGAGATGGCATGTCCCTACGGCTCAAACAGCATGTCAGCCACACCAGGGATGGCCAACCTCAGGTTCCAGAGCAGTGCCTGGGGTGGCGGGGCTGGCCGGGGGCTGCTGGGTGAGCTGACTCCCTGCTTCGAGAGGAAGCAGACCTGAGGGAGCCAGTCCTGAACCTCCCCTGGAGCCCGTTGGCTCTTCAATGCATGTGAAGTGTCTTGTGACTCTCATCCCATGGAGATGCAGTGTGCGGCTGACAGAGGACAGCCTTCCGCTATTTTATATACATGTATTAAGAGTGGTTAAAACGAGGGCTCAGAAATACCAGCAAGAACATTTTGAAGTCCTGGCATAAAATAAAAGCCTCAGTGTGCCTCTAATCTGCCCTGCTTCCTGCCCGTGGAAACCTCTTTGCAGTCCCTGTGCATACAGCAATGCGTCAGGACAGTGGAACGAGCTCAGCTCAAACACCCGTGACCCCCGCCACCGCATCCCCCCCCACCCCGGACAGCCGTGGGCTGCTGATCCAGCGTGACTGCCCAAGCCAGTCTGGTGGCTCAATCCAGGGCGTGAAAGGCTTTGGTGGAAGAATCAGAAGGGTTAAAAGTAAAACACACCCTTTATCAGTCCCCTTCACACTCCACAGGAGAAAGGGCTCATTAAGTTACGTGGGAAAACGTGGACTTCACTCAAGGAAGGTGGTAAGTGCTCTGAGCCCAGAAATAGCATCAGAGAGGGGGTACGTGGGGATGGGCAGCCAGCTGGAACAGCAAGGACAGTGAAAACATATGCCCTACACATGATATGGCAACCCTGACCCAGTAGTTGGAAAGGAACACAGGTACAACGATTTAAGAAAAATAGAAAGTGGGGAAACTCACCCATTTGGTGTGAAGGGCAGGCAGAGAGAGGCAAGGAAACAGCTCTGCTCCATCAGCAGGGAAGAAGTGGTGTTTGTTCACATTTGCTCTCAGCCACATTGCCAGGAGTCCACTCTCGGAGCCAGTCCTGCCTTCACTCTCCAGCCAGTCAGTCTTCCAGGGCCCAGTTGCGTCCCTTTCCTGACCAGAAATAGGACAGAGGGGTCTCCCGACGGAGCCGAACATCTCAGGCAGCAGGAATGTCAGAGGAATCTGGAGGACCTCTCAAAGACTGAACTAAAAGAAAAAAACAGGGGAAAAAAACCCCAAACATTCTCAGGCCAACCCATTAAAAAAGATTGTCAGGTTCCTTTGCTGAAGGAAAAAACCCAAATCTAAAAACATTTTTCAGAGCCAACCACGGAGACTGGCCAACCCAACAGAAGATGTGTTTGGTTTTGGTTTCAGAAGCTTTTGTGCAGTTAAAAAAAATGTCAGCCAGCTAAACTTCTGAACAAAATGGCCCTTCAAAATGAAAACTTGAGCAATTTTGTTTTAAAAAAAGTCAGAAAGGACTGAAGCTCTAATCCCACAAGAGGGCTGGGCAGTTTTCTCTAGCTGATATGACCTGCTAAATTTGACCAGAGTTTTACAAATTGTTTTGCTTGACCCCCTAAACATGGCTCAGTTCCAGTGAAGAAGCACCTTCTGATCCACGTCCTACCAGAGAAGCATCAACCAGTAGGGATACCCCAGTGCTCCCTAAGCCTCGAGAAAACCACCATGGAGGTAGGTAGACACCGTTTGAAATTCATGCTAGCATCTTTTGGCTTCCTTCTGGTGACTCAGGGTGCAGCAGTGCCCAGCTGTGCCTCTCCCAGCAGTGCCATCTCACCTCCACACCCACTACGTCACTGTGAGACGGGCAGTAAAGCCGCTGAAGCTTCTGGTTTTGAGTGTTCAGGCTATGATTTATCATAAGCCTTTCAAAATTGGAAAGTGAAGCAATTCTCCTTTCCAAAAAGCATTTATGCTCCCCCCTCGCACCCATATGGGCTTGTTATGTTAAGGCTGCTCATAAAACCCGCCTGGACCAGCCCGACACTTAACCTTGGTTTCTGAAACGATGCTGAACATAGTCTGTCTTTGCCCATGCTCGGAGCGAGGCTGTGTTAGCACCAGTTCTGCAGCTCTTACTGCTGACAACCATTGTCCAAAGTGAGTCTTTTCTTCTGTATGCAGCGGGGCCCCGACAGATGTAAAACAACAGCCCTGACCACTCACGTTTGTTTGCAAAGGCTTTCTAAAAGGAACTCCAGATGCTAGCCCAAATGTCTCATGCATTTTCCACCTCAATTTTAATTGCTGGTACTGCAGATCACTTCTCTTCATACAATCAGCTGCCGTTTCTGCCCTAGAATCAGTTGCCTTTCAGAGCCCAGGCAGAGGAAAGAGATTCCTTTATGCAACATCTCCGGTGTGATCATCTTGCCCAAAAGATCCCACAGGCAGAGGTGGAGAGTCAGTACAGCAAATTCATCTACCACAAACTCACTTATGCCTGATGTGACAAGCCGATCAGAGAGCATGTGTGTCCTGTTAATGGCAAAGGTCTCTCTTAAATCGGTTAAGCGTCTCTTCTCTCCCTGTTCCCAGGGTTTTTATTACTATGAACCATTAAAGCATTGCCAAGATGGCCATGAATTAAAACACAAATTTTCTCAGCATGAAGCTCCAGTCCCATATGTTTGGCGATGCCCCAAGATCATCCACTGCAACGCTTTCGCAGGCATCTACCTAGACCAGTCATCTGCTCTCAGCCTCCTCCCACACCTTTGGGGACCATTCCCACCCCTCCCTGGGGATCGACAAGGGACCGACACAGAAATGCCTTGACAAGGTGAGCAGGATATTCCGCACTGGGATGGCTGGGACACCGTCTGCCCTGCTGAGAGCTGCGGCAATGCTGCCCCGTGGGAGAGGGCTTCTAAATGCATCTGAGAGGTGGCAGTGGTGTAGATCTTTGTGGGTTTATCTGGGTGGGGATCAGTGCCCTCTGTGGCTTGCCCAAGGTCAGGGAGGAGTGGGAGCCTGCCCCCCAGCCCCCCCCGCACCCAGCAGTCTGTCTAGACAATCCTCCCCGCCGGGCAGCCGGGGACGCCGAGGGCCCTTCCATGCATGGAAGCATTCAGGAATTCCTCTCGCAATTAATTCTCCGTCATCCCCCAAAATAGCATTCCTGTGCAGAGGAGCTTAGAAAGCGGAGTGCCGCGGATCAGCAATTAAGGGGCAAAGACAGACTACAAAGGGAGGCACTGCAGGTCACACCTGCGCTGCATCAGAGCTGCTCTGGGAGAAAGCCCTTACCAAGCTCCGGAGGGAACGGCAGCTCCTAAGTCAAACCCAAGTAATAAGATGATCTTGTAGGGGGAAAGATTAATCATTATTGGCAGCCAAGAATGTGCAAGTCTAACAAAAGCCAAAGGTTTTTTTATTACAGTCCAACTGCAGCCGGGAAGACAACGTTAGCTAAGAATCATTAAACCTACTGCAAGAATAAATTTTCTTTGAACCAAACCATAAAATGGGAGTAAAATCCTCTTAAGCCAGTGACAGCTCCTAATGGAACAGACGTTATTATTTTTTTGCAAACCAAAAAAAAAAAAAATTAATAAAATTGCTTTAGATTATTAACTGAATAGATTAGGCTCCAAAATGGAAAATATTTACTCAAGCAAAACCTGCTTAATTTAATACCTGCCTCAATTAATTTTTAAGTTTGGGATTATAATTGAACAGAATAATGACATTTTCTGCTTGTACAAATAGGGATTTGTGAACCCTATTTGCCCAGAAATCAGGCAGGAGAAGAAGTACCTAGGAAAACTTTACCCTGCTAACCCTCAGGTAACATTAGTGCTGCTGCACGTGCCAGTAATGAGTTTGGCAGCTTACGCAAGCCTGAAAGATAGAAGGTGAAGCCAAGGTCCCTTCTCACAGCTGGTCATTAAATTTCCTGAAACGTCTGACCAGGAGGTCACTACTGATATTATAAAACACAAAAAATATTACAGAAAAATTGAAGTAATTTCCTTTGTGAATGTGGAAGCAGAATACCAAGTTAAAAGCAAGATGAACATGCGCTTCATTTTTTCAGCATGCAGGGGATATCTGCTGGCAGAGTGGGCTTTGATCCATTGGCCAGATCTGGGATGGATGAAGAGCGTTCAACAGCTCCCTGAAAAGGTCTCTGAGTTTGATCCTGAATAAAGACCTCAGCTGGATGCTCTGGTTCCAAAGCACAGGTAATCACTTGTTTTACACACCAACACGACTGGCTGGAGCTCTCAGCCTGAGAGCTGCTGACAGAAATCTTACTTAGTTCCTGCTTTTAGGACAAGCTTGGTGTACTCCCTCCTCAGTGCTTTTCCCTCTCAGCCAGAGAGCAGGAGGTGCGGGAAAGGAGTGGAACACCAAGCTCCAGCATTCACACTGGCTCTGTACACCCAGGTGGGAAAATAAACCTGAAGGATCAGTTCTCTGGGGCAGGCAGTGCAAGAAGAGCTGCGTCCTGTGATGAGGAAGCTTTTTGCACAGCTGGACACCTTCTGCTCTAAGCCCTCCACTCTTGCAAAGTGCATCATCTTGTCATTTTAACCTACAAGCCATTTTTTCTGTTAGGGCCCAATTCCCAAGACCTCATGGCAGTTCTGCCTACTAGGAGCTTGGTAAGGTATGTAGTGGTCACACAGTATTTGTCAAGCAGATCTTGTATATTCTGAGAGAAAGAGCTTCAAAGTAAAAGCACGTAAACAGGCCTGTCCTTCACAAAGCTCACCATCCTCTGTGGGTCAGGGTACATCAAGCTTCTTCAAACAATACTTTGGGCAATCGGTCTTCCTCAGCCTTCCTTGGCTGCTGTCCCTTCCCTCTCTCCAGATGCTTAGATGCTCAGACCTTTCAGGCCTCTAAAACGTGACCTGATCTAGACGTGGCCTCTGTGCAGTGGATTTGAGCCCACTGAAAAAAGTCTGTCTCTATAGAAGTCACCCGCTGCCCAAGGGCTGGAAATCACTGCCTTCCTCCTTACTTACCATTTTTCTAAAAACCCCTCCTCAGGGCTGAACTAATACATCTGCAAAACAGACTGGAACGCTCGGCAACTGCTATCCACAACCACTCAGTAACCCCATCACTTGCACAATGCGTGGCTTTCCTGTAGCTGAGGATTCCTGGAGCAGTTCCACACCCCGCTGGCACTGCTCAAAAGCAGCAGGGCTGGGGGGGCGGGTGGGGGTGTCTCACCATTAGGGTCTGCCTTGGGAAGAAAAACATGGCCATTGGCTTGCAGCTGGCAGCCAACTCTGATATCCTGCTCCTGGTTCCCCTGGTGTCAGAAGCACACGCTGCATAATAAGCGGGAAGAAGAGAAACATTTGATTAAAAAGCTTCCTGCCTGGAAGCAATTCTGATCCTGGCTCTACCAGCTCAAACTCAGCCCTGAGAGCGTACACTTCAGTGTATGTATAAAGTCGTTTGGGGAGGAAGATGAGAAAGTATAAGGGTTTTATTTGACATAGGCCTTCCTGGCACGTCAGAGCTCTGTTGCTTGTGTTTTCAAGACAGGAACCTTGTTAACAAGCGCTGGTGAGCGCAGCAGGCTCTTGCAGGCTCTCCTCCCGAAGTCACTGGTGCAGGTCTGGTTGTATGTTGTGCAGAAGGGTCAGTGAGGACAAAAATGAGAGAGAGAGAAGTGGATTCAACATTGAAATCTTCCTTATTTTAAAGTGAAAGCAAGGAAGGTCAGATGACAGCAACAGAGAAGGTGAGGAGTATTGTAGACTCAAATAGCTCTTGAATCCAGGTAAGGAACATGAAATCTGCAGTAAGAGAGTCCATCAGAAAGAGCCATTAGTCACAAGTTGGGAACAAGTAAAGTCCAGAGCTTGTCAGGAAACGACATGTCACTAGGATTATGGGCAAACCTTACAAAGTAGCTGTAATTCTGAAGGTCTGAGGAGGCAAATTGTGATCAAAGAGCCATGCAGGCACAGGAGGAAGCAGCATGGAAACCAGAATCCTTCTCCTAAAGGCAAACAGGGGTGAATTACAGCATAACAGATCCTTCCCAAATCACCCCCCTAGGTCCCAAAAGCAGTTGACGGACGACTGCGCACGTGATGCTGAGTGACAAGCCTGCAAGACTGTCTGTGGGAAAGGAACAAGAGGGGTAATTTTATTGTCATGTACCACAGGGGGGTGTAAGTAAAATCACAGCATGAGAAAATGACAGTGTATCTGTCTTAGGTCATTTACATGCCCAGATAATCTGTGGGAGGAGAGCCAAAGTTGCTGCATTTGACAGAGGCAACTCAACAGCAATGTGCCTGGGAAACGGAAGCTTACACAGAAGATTTGCAAGCCCCAAAACCAATCTCATGTTCATCGCTCCCGGAAACCAAAATGACCAGACTTAATAATTTAGGCTTCCGAACGATTACGCTTTCCTCCATCATTACAGGCTGTATAATGGTCTCATCTTGCTGAGCACGCTGCAGGAATGCTGCAGAGGGACAGTCCCACGCTCAGAAGCGTACATGCCTCCCAAGGACACGCCTGGAGGCCACAAAGACGCTGTACGCAGGCAAAGGAGCACTAACAGGCATGAAGGCAGAGGCTGGGTAGCTGTTGCAGACATCAAGTACGTTGCTGTCGATAGGAAGTGTAGCACATTAGATTTTAGGAGGGATCTGGAAGAAGGAGAGGATGCTTTGTTAGCATTTACAGGTTGCTCCCCCACTGCAGAGGGAGTAACCTGGGAGAGACATGCAGTGGCATGTTGGAACTGGCACAGCTGGCAGATAGGCAGGACCCAGTATCTCTGCAGTGGAAAACTTTTGGGGGATGGTTAGATAGAGCAGGGCCCGAATAGGCTGTCTGCAGAAGACACACGCACTTTACAGCTCATGTGAGGGAGATGATTACCGAGACACACTCTGCAGGACCCTTTAACACTGCACTGTCAGAGGTTCCCACTGAAAATCCCGACGATAAGGCTCTGTGGCACTCTGCATAGAACTGATAAGTGTGGCAGAAATCTGATTATTCAGAAAACCTGGGAATCCCAAAGGGATTTCAGCTGGGTAGACAGGGAGGAGGAGATATTCTTCAGGAAGAAGCAGCTAGTCTTCAGCAGGGCCCAGATATGGGTATTTAGAGAGAGGTCAAGTCAAAGAGGACCCAGGGGTTGAGCGGACGGTAAGAAAGAGACATCAAGAAAGGTAGCAGGGAAGAGCAAGCACACGAGGACTCAAAGATCCGCTTTGATTGTGTGAGCTGAAGCCAGTAGGTGGGTGTCCACGAAGCGCTGTCAGAAAGACATACTGTGAATTCATTTGGACAGCGCAGGGCAGGCTAGGAGGAAAGTGATCACTCCCTGAGTCATCAGCAGGAGATTATATATGCAAAATTTGTAAATAAGGTCACCCAGAGAGGGAACGCAGAGGAGGAAAAGAGGAGGGCTGGGCGAGTGGCCAAGGATGGAGCAGGCAGTACCTGAAGACTGTCAAGCAGGACCAGGCGCAGCCTTAGATACGTCACTGCAGGGGCAACCCTGTCCTACTCTGCGAGCAGAGGGGAATAAAGGTACCTGCACTGGATGATCTGTTCCTTGGGGGCAAATGTGTCATACCAGCTAACAATAAGAAACCTAGAAAGGGCTCGGGAAGCTGCTGGGTCCCAGTTCTCCGAGGGTGAACTTCTGCCTCAGTTTCCCTGGAGTGACTTGTGAGTGCGGGCCCAGACCTGGCTCTTGCAGCTGCAGAGAGGGTAGGGCTTCCCTGCGGAGAAGAGAAACCTTCCAGCAGTTAGGGGCCATATTCTCAATTGAGCTTTTAGCAGCTACATTGCAAGGAGGGGCAGCGAAGCCCCTCCACAGACAAGCTACAAGGTCACCACCAAACCCTAAGTGAGGGCAAAACACTTTGTCAGTAGCTGTAGAGTGGAGAAGACAACCACACAGCTGTAGCTGGCAGGGAGTTGGGCTGGGAAACCCAGCATTACTCAGCTGCTACCCTGACATGGGAAGAGACAGAGCTCGTGTTTGTGATGTGCAGGGGCAGGAGCAGTGGGATCCCGAAAGTCACAACTGACCCTGAATTACAGAGCCAGCTGGCCAGACGCTGCGTTCTGAAATCGCCCGTTCACCTGAGAGCGCTGGCTGGAAAGCATAAGGCAGCATGCAGAGAATGTCCAGGTTAACTTGTCGCTGGCAATGGCCTCTCATTTGTCAGGCAGGGATTCATGTGATTTACAGAGGGATGTGGGGGTTTTGCAGGTGTTAGGCGGTCACCCTGAGAGCTCAAGACAACAAAGAGATTTTGGAAAAAAAAAAAAAAAAAAAAAAAAGAAGGTTCCATTTCTAACCCCAGAGAGGCTCTTAGCAAGTCCAGTGAGCCTCAGGCAGAGTGAGGGGAAGGGGGGGCTGGGAATGGACCAGTGGGACAACGGTCGCAAGAACAAAAGGGCTGTATTAAGAAGGCCTATTCTGGCACTTAAACCAGGTTTAAGCAACTTTGCTGCTGCCTAATCTGAGGATAACAATAAGTCAGATGTTTTACAAACTGGAAATGCCTGGCCAAGTCAATGGAGAAGAGCAGGTGAGATACTTAACCCTTAAGTTGTCTAGACATTATTCTGTTTCTGTCTGCATGTGCATGACAAAGGCAAACCACTTTCACGTTTAAGGTACACAAACCCTGATGCAAGGAAGATATTATATGGCCTTGATTCATAAAGGAACCCTGCCAAAAAGTGATTGTCTCCCAGTCTTGCAAGCCAGTGAATGTAAACTCAGAAAATGTCCCTCGCTGACTGACAGGTACTCTGCAGTGGCGTGATGGGGTGAGCAGCGTTAACATCTTGTTCTGGCATTAAAGCCCATAGGCAAAGTTAAGTGAGCTGGGGCCAAGGGGTGAGCAGCAGAGGTTGTCTGAAAGCCAGGCTCCATGAAATGCAGAGTTATAATCAGGACTAGGTGGCCTGGTCTCTCCAGACTGCCTGCTTACCTGCCCCAGCAATTCGGGGATTTTTTAAAGCAGCTTCATTTACAAAGGGAATCAAGCCAGCAAAGCACAGCCTTGTCCAAATTCCCATTACAAGACTTCATCAGATCACTCCAGACTCTGAGACCACTGACTCTGCACAGTAACAGCCATTATCCCCAGGCTTTGTGTGTGTTTATGTTACCCTTCCATTTTCCCTTCAGATATGACAAGCGATTCTTAGAAAATATGTTGTAAACTCTTCTGCTCTGGAGTTCTGTCACCTTTGATTGCACTCATTTGAGGCCAAGGATGTAGTTTCAAAGTAAATCAATAAGCAACACTTGGAAGGGTCCTACAGGCGCATGCTGGGTGCAGAACCGCCAGTCCTCCTCTCTCCCCAGTTACCTCTGCTTTGCTTCCCCAGCCCGGATCACTGTTTTAGACAGGATGAGTGCAACCCAATCAAATAAATGGTCAAAATCCAAACAGTAAAACACTTCCCAAAGCCCCCAGTGCTGCTTTACAGTACGGGAGTACGGGCTGGGGCCTGCCTTGCAGTTGGAAGGGCACCTCCAGCATTTGGAAGTCCCTATAGTCACCAAATCAGTGTGACTGCTTGTCGCGGCACTGATCTGAGCCGGTGTGAGGGTCTCTCACAGCACATCAACAGAGATACACCTCATTGCCAGTCTGCTGTACCCAGGGGTGGGCTGCAGCCAGCGTCTCCTCGTCGCTACAGATGGTCCTGGAAACACCCGAGGAAACATCTCAATGCCAGTGAGGGACTGGAATAGCAAATCTGGAAATCAGAAAGCACCCCTGTGCCTCACACTCTTACTGAAGACATTTAGGGCCCCTCAGGCTTGTTATCACACAGAGGGCAACACATCCAAGTAGAGCATATCCAGAGCAGATTTACTTGGGAGCCCCAGGGGAGTACGTAATCGCGCCTAACCCTCATTTACACTGCTTTTGGCTCCTCGTACTCCCCACTGCTCCAACAGCCACGCAGCCACAGGATCTGGTCCTCGGTAGCCTTCCAAGAAGCTAACGAGGTTGTACCTCCTCAAGCAGCTCCTCCAAGCTGAATCATAATAGAGCCCATCAGTGCAGTATGGACTGCTGGCTAAACACTTCATTAAGGAACAGCTGGGTTATTCATCATGTGGAGCTGTCCTGCTCTCCGAGATCAATGCGACTCACGGGGCGAGGGTAAACTCCTGGAGAAACCCCTGACAGAAAGCCTACTCGAATGCACTTGCAGAAGGATTTACAGAGCGAATTAACTCCATTGGTTGAATTACCTGGATTTGGGGGTTTTTTAATTTCAAAATCCCCAAAGGCTGTGGAGACAGTCTGGTGACCCTGAAGCAGCAATGCTGACAATTCAGCCAGAGAGGAGGGCTGCTGCCTGCACACAGTGAGAATACCCCCTTCACTCTGCCACCTAACACCTGCTGGGGTTTTTTTAACCTAGCTTTGTTTTCAGTTGAGATCTCCATTACCTGTTTCAGTGTGCTGATGGTTATACTGGTATGCCTGTCTGGAGTTTCTTGGGCTGACTCAGGACATCTGCTCGCTGTTCCCAGCTCCGCTGCTCTCTCTCCCTGTAAGATAAAACAAATTATTCAGGGTGGAAGTGATCTGTTGTTTTGGTTGTCTTCATGCTTTGGTCTCTGTTCAGTGCCGATGTGCTCTGCTTCCAAATCCAGCATTGTCTGTGCAGAGCCTGATTAGGGGAATTCACACCTACAAAGCTTACATCCTATATGCTCTTCACAAGCACAAGCACAAGCACAGCTCTGGTTAAGACAGCTTTGAAAGAGCCTCCTGCACAACGTACTGTCATGGTGAAGCTCCTCCCAGAGAGCAGCAGGACAAGCAGCCCCCATGTCTCTGGCTCAACAGGCTTACTCAGCCCCAGAGTACTGCGGGACCTTGCTCAAAGCAACATTTTCTTTGTGATTCAGGGAGAGATCCTACAGCCTCTGCTTCTCTTTTTAGTGTGGCCTGTCCTTCCTTACTCCTCAGCAACTCCCTGCTGAGTCCCTGAACCTCGCACGTGCGTTCGCAGAGCTATTACCCATTGCGTCTAAGACCGGATGCCATGTTTGATATCACAGAAGAGCTCTGAGATATCACAGCCTGGAAAGATGGTTTCTCTGAGCTGAGCTGAGTGACACACAGCCAGAGGCCATACCCACGACACTCCTCTGTGTTCAGATCCGCCCCTGCTTAGCACCAGGCAACTGAACTGCACACAACACTTTGGTGCCTCTGTCTCTCTCTGTGCCTCCAGCACAGGGTTCCCTGCTCCTTATCCAGGCAATTCCCAAATTCAAAAAGGCCAAATTCTTCCCAGTTTCCATTCAAAGCAGCACCTAATCCCCGTACACCCCTGCGGGGCAAGGGGAACCCATCACACCCTGCCTAGGGTTGCTGGGCCCGCGTATGCGGCCCCAGCGCCACACTTCCAAACAGCCCATTTTCCCCTCTCTCCCTGCAGCACTGAGCACCTTTAGGGGTGTTCAACCATAGGGTAATAATTAATTAACACAAGTGATCATTTATATTATCTGCAATTTGAACGCGACTCTTATCAAGTCAGTGTTGGAGAAGCACTGGCTCAGAGCGTAGCTGCAGCATCTAGGGCTTCAGACCTTTGCACGCTCGCTCTCTCCGGCTGCTAACTGAGTCAGGTGGTGTCGTTCCTAGAAGGTGAATAAATTATTATTGCAAATTACTCTGATGAAGTGGCTTTTATTAGAAAGCCAGACACAAAGGGAGCTTGCTGATTGGCTAACAGTGATGTCATACCCACCACAGCACTCGAATGCAGAGATACGAATTTTCTTGTCTGTATTTTCTGTATAATTTTCATTTTCTACTGGCAATAAAGACTCACCAGCAGAGCCTTTTGCCCCGTGAGTGTGGTGGGGGGTCTGTACCTCTCAAGTAGCTGATGAAAGCAAAACGGCCTTTGTTCCTCTGTCTTGCAATGAACCCACGGCTAGCAGTTTTCACCCACAAAGGCACTGTGTTTTATTGCTCTATAACAAACCCCACCACTCAATTTGCTCGGGTGGGTACCAAAAATATGGGCATTTTTTGGCTTGCATGTACCTAAAATCAGTCTGATCACAGAGATTTTGCTACTTACAAGCTGAAGCTTAAAGTGCAGATAAAGCAACAGCCTGGGTATCATTCTGATCCTCAGCAAAAGGCGAAAATGGGCTTTTGGAAACAACCAGGCAGCAAAATCCCCACCAATTATTTATTTTGCAAGTTTTACATCTTTGTTTTTCCTCCCTTCAAAGCCACTGTGAAATTCTCAGTGAGCTCTGTCAGAGGCAGACTGGAAGACCAGCACACTGCGCACTATCATTTCCCTTCCCTAATTGAATGTCCTATCAAACTTACGAGATTTGCCTAGCAAATGTTCCAGCTTTAATCACTTCTGGATGCAAACAGGCACGCTGGTGCAGCTCAAATACTAGAACCCTGTGCGGACAGCAAGCATAAAAGCACCACTTGCCTCACTGAACTGGAATGAACTTTCAAATTCGAGCAGCTATGCGGAGCGTGCCTCTCCAGGCTGTGCTCAGCTCTGCAGCTCCCTCAAGCAACACCACCGTGGTTCTGGGCTCCAGCCCCTGCTGAATACGGGCAGGGACAGAGTGGAAGGTTTCACATACCTACTGCTTCCTCCCTCCCTTACGTACCACTGAGGTGTAAATTTTGCCAGGAAGGCCAAGTGTAACATTTCCAGCACCAAGAACAAGCCCCTGCTTGTGCTGCACACAGCACACTGTAACACACAGAGCACAGATCCTGACCTGACCTACACAGCTTGCCTATCCCCCTTCGATTACGGCTCTAAAGTCATTTGTCCTACAAGGGCAGAAAACAAAACACATCTATCATTTGGAAGATGTCCTGGAAACCCCCAGATAGTTGCATTGATGAAATTGGACACCGAGGGCTGCCAGAGAGCTCAAGCATAGTTAGATTTGCTGTTCCCAGTCCTGGGGTCATGACTCTCTGCAACATCATCAGCTCCACTTTATTCCAGGTGGCTTGAAGTTGGAAATCATTGTCTCTTATTGCCTGAAGATTTGCTGAGCTGCCTGCCCTTTGAGAATAACAGCAGCTGCCCTCAGACTCCTAGATGTTAGATCTGAGGCTTCGGAAGTCCTGAGGGTGAAGGTGCAAGAAACAGGCATCCAGGAAAGAAAGAACCTGACTGTGAATCAGAGTCAAAAGAGAGAATATGAAGGCAGAAGTCCTAGGAGAGGATGCTGTCTGGCTGAGACACACGGCCAGCATCAGCAAAAAGGGTACGGGCTGTCAGGTTTAAGACCTGGAACAGATTCAAATCACCCCTTTTAGATGTGACCTCCTTTCCTGTTTGAGGAAGACAGCGAAGGGGAGAGGGAGCCATGAATCTTGGACCCAGTCCCTGCTTTGCCAATGCATGGCTTGGCCTAACATCCCTCTTTGCTTTTATCACTCCACGTGTAGGATGGAGGGCTATTAAAAGCATCAGAAGACTCAAGTAAAACAGTTTTACTGTTTTTAAGAGCTTTGTTATAACACCTCTGGAGTTCTGGCCTGGACCACCACAGGCATGTGGCAGGAAGCTCAGAACAGTCTTTGGATATTGAATTACTGTTCAGAACCGTATCAGATTCCAAAATTGCAACCACTGGCCAAAACCAGAAGGCTCTGTAGAACAGAATGCACCCGCACAGATGGCGTGACAAGAAAATGATCATGCTGGACCTAACTCTGCTTCCCTTCCTCACACAGAGTAACACCCTTGCTCCCACCTTTGATTTCAGCTGTTCATTTTCAGATGTTATTTCCCCATACGAAGCAGCCAGGCTCTAGAGAAGAATACAGTCTCACCTACTTATCACTTGCCTTAAAATGAAGAGTCCCCGTATCACTTGGCTTTTTAATGAAGTTGGGCTTTGATGTATCAGTCAGCCCCTCCTCTTCACTCGAGGACAGTATTAGAATCACATCTGGATTATAATACCCAGTAAGGTGTTCGGGGGGTGCTATGAATCAAAGACCTGAAAATGGGATTCCGTTTAATTAATCGTGGCTGACAGACGAAGGTATTGATCCCAGATTGAGAGGTTCAGGATTGGCCCGGGAGATAATTACTGGAGGGCACACTGCATTAGGGTGGTATTTTTGAATTTCTAGCAATGTGGGAGGGAAGCAGGGAGGAAATAAGTGGATAATTGCAGCTAATTAGAACTTGTGTGCGTATCCCAAATTAATTTGTTTGAATAATCAACCCCCAACAGCAGCCTGATCCAAAAGGAAAAGGAAACAACTGCCCAGAGAGACCTACATTGCTCCCATGAACTCTTCAGTCTCATGTCTGGGACAAAGATTTTATGGAGCCATGGCCCTAAATACAGAAGGGGAAACGGACAAGATTATCGAGTGGGAACTCTTGGTTCTGCCCAAGATGTACAATAAATAGGAGGGGCCAGGCGAAGCTGAAGGGTAGGGGAGAGGGTGGGATGGCAGGCGATGCTCTTGCCTTAGCCTTCTTCGTACCCGTTGGCAAGACGCCGCCTCCCGCCGGGCTGCCGGCAGCCAGCCTGCCAGCGCCTCCACAGGTGGGGCATCGGCTCCCCCGACGGGGAGATACGGGGTGGCTGCAGGGGGGTCAGACAGGCAACTGCTGTCGCCGCAGGGATAATAAAAGGTATCTGGGCTGGCAGAGAGGGCAGATGGAGGCAAAGCTGCAGCTAGCAATCTGAGTGCACACACCGACCAACCCACTGCTCCCTGGCCGCGGGATCCCCATAATCTCCCAAGGCAGACCTGCTGTTACAAACGCTCTCATCACTAACGCAGCGGGGGCAGCTAAGCTGAGAGAGTGAATGATCTAGCAGGGGGTTAATAAAAGGGCTGACGCGGAACAAAAAAGCCTGTCAGTTGCCATAAGATGTGCTCTCCACCCTTCCCACCCCCCCGGAAATTAAAAATTGCAGCCTGTGGTGTACACTGTTTTCTCAGAGGGACTGAACGGGGCAATGGGATGTGGAAGGGTAGGATGGGAAGGAGAAGGTTGGGAGTCAAATGTTTGTCCTGGCTGTTGCTTCTGATGTGATACATCAAGAGCTGTTTTTCTGAAGGACGAGGGTACCTGGTCTCTCCAAACCCGACGAGACCAAGCCACATTTCTGTGTGCTGTTGCCAGCAGCTCCTCCTGGATAGAGTCCACTAGATCCTGCCAGGCTGGAGGGCCAGGCTGCTCCCTGCCTGATACTGCTGAAGCCCACGCTTGCATGTTTCCATGGAAATGGGAAGAGAACAAATGCCTGTGTCACGATACGCCCTTTTCCGACATAGATTTGGACTGTTTCTAACGTCCCTTCCTCCTGATAACCTTCAGGACTGAGTATTTTGTGGGCACAAACAAAACAGAACAAGAAGAGGGGAAAAAAAAATATCTGATTGTATGAAACAAAACCCACCACCCTTGCCGGTGAGCAGCAGCTGAACTCAAAAGCACGTTACTCCACCGAGAACACCCTTCAAGGCGAAGAGACCTCCGCACTAAATACAATCTGGTAATTCACAGGCTCCTCGTTTCTCACGAGTGGATAGTGATGATCTGTTCCCTCCCCTCCCGGGCTATTTCGCATCGCGTTTCCAGCACCGTTTTTCCCCCCTCTGAAGGAATGAAATCTCTGAGCTCGGAGGTGAAGCCCCCGCTGCCTGTCTCCTGCCTGTTATTGTCTGCCGTGCCTGGCGCATTGTCTGCAGCCTGGGGAGGCAGCTCGGCAGGCAGGCGGGAGCTGCCGGGCTGCGCAGCGCGGGCCCGCAGCGCCCTCTCCCGCGGGCCACCCGGGCTCGGACTGTTCGGCGCCGTACAGCCGGATGAGGCCCGCTGCGCTGCTGCCAGCACCGGGGTGAGTACAGCCCGGACACCCCGCTTGCCTTCGGGGTGCTGCCCTGCCTGCCAGGCCGGCGGTCCCAGGCCCCCCCCTGCCAGGTACGCAGGCGGCCGGGCATCGCCCGACGTGCGGAGCTGGAGCGTCACAGGACTAATCCCGGCAGCACCCGAAACAGCAGTAACTTCTACACACCTCGAGCCAAGGCATTTTGGCAAGGAGAGGCAGAAATCTGCGCCTGCCTGCTGCTTTCCATCAACTGCTGGGTGCTTCAGATAAAGGCGAGCTCTGTTCACCCGGGCTTTGCTGGGGGCCTGGGTTTGGCATCCACCAGAGGAGCGTGGAGTAAAGTAATTATCCCTCTCCTGAACGCCGGTCTCTGCTCATCACCTGAGGTCTGTCTGAGCAGCCAGAATAACTCATCAGTCTGTTCTTGTACCATCATCGTGGAAGATTTATAAAGCCTCTCTCAGCCCCGGGCACCGTGCTCCAGGCACCTCGGTGCCCACACCGCAGACCAACCTGCCCTGGGACCCTGCCCCTCAGCCCATCGGCACAGGAGCATAACACACTTTAGGAGAAGAAATAGGAGAGATCTTTTGCAAAGCCAAAGGCAAAGCAATGACAAGCTTTATCTCTGCAGGGACTTTCCTTGGGATTATTATTTTAAAGGACAAGTTACTGCTCCAGCTGCTGGAAGACAAGGATATGAGTAAAGGAGCTTCATGAATATAGATATGTTACATAGATAGAATATATAAAACTCAACTACAGTTGTCATTTTACTTTCCAAGTGTGTGAACACAAGATGTCCCATCCCCAAGAGATCCAGAAAGGGCTCTGGCCCCTTCATTAGACACAAAGAGGAAGCTGGATATTAAACACTGCCTGAGAAGCCAGGCCTGGCTGAGTGCAGCCATGCTGTCAGGAGAGCGATGTGTCGGAGAAGTTAGCCTTCCTCCATGGGGAACAGCACTCCCAGGAAGCAAAGGTTTCCTGGCTGCCATGAAAACATTTGAAAAGTGGCAACACTTTTGCCCTTCCTCAGTGCAAGGGACTGCAGGAGGCACCAGCGTCAGAGCTGTCCCGGCTACACCCACGGAACACTCAACACCATACTATGGTTGCTGGAACGAAGTCAGCAAAATAAATTACAAATGAAATAAAAGGGGATTTTGACTAACCAGAACATTTCATTTGGCCCAAAAGAAAATGAGAAGTCCAGGGTTCCCTATGAGCAAGAAGTAGCAGCCCTGCGCTGTGTCCCAGCCCTGCTCTCCCCAGCGGTGGCACATCTGGCCAGGTGTGCCTTCAGACTCTACAGTGGCCCATGCACCAGCACCTGCTGCTGGAAAATGTTTTTTTTTGTAATATTCCTTCCTGCCACACTCATCTCGGACAGCAAAAATAAACATCATGTCTCTTACATGATGCTTTACGTTCTTACAGATCGGTCCTGTTGCGCTCCCCGCACAGCCAAGCCACCCACCGCAACACCAGCCTTGTCTTGCACCCCACCTGAACTCAGCTGGTTTGATACCGAAGGGATTTTCTCCAGGCTTGGGAAGATTGTTCCTTCCTTCCCTGCCACTTTGAAAACTCCTGTGCGTGCTGTGTGGGAGGCTAGATGTGGGTGAGTGTAAGCCAGCCCTGTGATGACAGGAGGCTGGCTTACACGGGGTTGTAATGGGGCTGAGAGTCTGTTCCACGCTCCACGGCAGGCTGGTAGGCCTACGCTCCTGCTGCGTGCTGCTCAGCAAGCCCCAGGGGACTGCGTATGTCACCGTCCTCCACGTCCCATTCATCCTCCACTTGCAGTGAGTGCATGTATTTGTGGTTTCAGTGAAATATATGACTCGCTACTGCTAGGCTGTATGAGCAAGAATTTATCTGCTCAACGTATTATGTTGGCTTCCAAGTTTATGATTTATCCACAGAAAAATGTCTAACACTGACAGGATCTCCTGGTGGTAGTTCCAGGTGGTCTGTTGTGTGCTGATGATAGGAGGTTTTGGTTTTAGCGCTCTTCCCCTTTGTCTTGGTTCTTCCACCACTGCTGGCTGTGGTAACACTGACAGCATCAGCTTCAGGGCATACAGATGCCCAAAAGTGAGTAAATTCCCTTTTTGGTGCTGTAGGCTGAGGAACAGGTCGAGTCTCTATTGCCCAAAGGAGACACAGGCAAGGTCCACATGCCCATGACTCTATCACCAAATGTAGAGCCGCACCCTGACACCAAACATTGTGCCAGGCTGCCACGTCCACCCATGACAGTCACAAACACTCCCCTACATTTGCTTTGTCCCCTGCAGCTGTGTTTGAGAGCGCCATGGCTAGCCCAGCTGCTGGACTGGCACTACTGTGACATTAACTTCAGGAGGGCGGTGGTGATGCTGCCCCGACAGAGCTCCCCTAGCTGAGCCAGCGCCAGCGCACCCACCTACTCAGTCACTTTGATTTTGATAGGCCCCAAAACTGTCTCTTCCACCGCTGACCACAGCTCCCCATCCGAGCAAAGACCGGCTGTTATTCCATCAAAGAAGTGAATCCCGGCAACGTGAGGATATTTGCAGAGCCCCAGCTTTTCAGGTACTCAAGTTTACAATTTATGCCTCCAGGGTGACATTGCAGATGAAAAACAAAATGTATGGAACCGACAAAAAGGAATCTTAAAAAAAGTATTTTCTGCTTTAGGTAGCTGAGGAGATGAACAGATGTAGATTCACTGGGCTTATGTCAGTCTTGTCTGAGATACACAGGTCCTTTTCCTTGCTTTGTCCTTTTGACTCTCCCCCACTCTCAAAAACACCTCATCAGAGTCTTCTGCCATGCAACTCCCAGGTCAGCCTTTCCAGCGGGCTGCACCATCTTATTTGTTTAAGTATCTTTAGGCAGTAAGTGGGACTTATTTGGCGCCCCTCAATCTTGACAGAGCCGCAAGTATTTGCAATTGTAAAGCCGTCTTGCACAGTTTGTTCTCAGATTCCTCCAAAATGCACCCAAAGTGGGCACACAGTTTGGTTGATGCTCTCCTTTCATGTGTTTTCCTTTACTCAGAATAAAGATCTCATTTTACTGTTGCCTTGCTGTAACTGTGTACACTTGTGTCCTTTTCTTGTCATATAGATATAAGCTGCAGCATGCTGAAGGCGTTCTGGGGGCACTAGCAGTGGCATTTTACAACATCTCCTCAGGGATTTGACCTCCTCCTTCTTAGAAGACCTTCTGTCCTTCAAATACAGTTTGAACTTTTCACATGAGATCACAATTGCTAAACATTCCTGTGCTATTTAGAGGTATCTTTGTTCTGTTGATAGTGGTGACGTGAACAGGAAGGCCACTGCTTTCCTGCCACTCCATTTACTGGCAACAGATGACACCATCACCTCCCAGTTCGTATCACTCTACTGTGCACTGCGGGATAAGACCTGCTGTGAGCCAGGTGCATCACGTTGATGTAAATGTCTACATAACAGTTGTCACTTTGGTAGGGCTAATGAAAGGTTTGCAAATATTTGAAAGGTTTGGAAGGAATCTGGAGTTTACACATCTGAAAGGTCTCTTAACTGGTTTATTACCAGTGGGTAGGCAGCACACGCCTTTCCAAGGCCAAGTCCCCGCCTCAGGAAGCCAGCAGGTGTCTGCTGCATGCTATTACGGCAAACTACAATTTCATTTTAGGTTTATTCCCCCAGCTCTTGTTAGCAGACTAATGAGTTTGTGATTATGATCTGCCGCAGCTTCTGTCTTGAAGACGTCTCTGCACCTGTCTGCAGAATGTCGCTGGGTACCACACCGACTCCTGCGCATCCCGTTAAGGTGACTTGCCACACCGCTGACACACTGAATAATCTGAAGGGGAAATCCTTCCCTTGAGGTGAAGGATAGCATCGCTCCCCTCATTTTACAAAAACGTCGAGGGGAAAATTCCTGCAGGCTTCTGCTGGCCTGGAAAATGAACCTAAATCCCTGCTCAGAGGGATTCAAGTTTAGCTCCTGTTCATAACATCTGCCAAACAGGACATGCAGCACTAACCAGCCCTGCCTGGAGCAGGAGGGCAGAACCTAATCCTACCTCTCCCTGGTGCTCTCTTACCTTTAAGTCGTGAGCAGCACGAGGCTCACAACTGTTACTCACAGGCAAAAGCTGCTATTTCAGTTGAAACGTTGAAGGCTGATGGGAATCTGACAGTCCATGGTTAAGCTGCGCTAAAGCGCCAGCTGGGAAGTGGGTGGAAATTAATCTTTCGTCAAATAGTTAAACTCCATTTTCTCCAAAATAATTAATTCACAAAGAACATATCCCTTCTTGTATTTCACAGCTGAAAACAAAGCCAGTCTCGCCTCCCCCTACATTATCTGTCAGTCGTACCACAAAGAACAGAAGAGCTCATTCAGTTGTTACTCATATGATCAAATCATGGTGGAACAAAAGAAAAGCCCTTGCCTTGGCTTTCAATTTACCTGAGGTTCGGAGCTGCCCCACATCTATTTTTCTAGTTACACCCAAACATCTGGTTCTGCCTTTTGTTTGGAACTGATCTCCACGCTGTGACCCCAGCCTTCCGGGAGCAGCCAGAACCCCCACCACAGGCTCACTTGCCCGGCAGTCAAAGCACAACCCAGTTCTATTTTCAGACTGAATTTACCTCAGTTTATATTAAATGCCAGGTGTCTGTTTGATATCTCTGCCACAGTGGCAACTCTCAGATCACATTTGGTTTCCCGTGGACAAGATCCAAGGAGTGACGGATGGCTGGACGGGTGCCCAGCTGACAGCTCAAGAGCCTAACAACGAGAAGCATCTCAGCACCTGTGTCTCCAGCTGAACTCGACCGAGACAGTAACATGCACCGCCACGGAAAACCCAGCTGTCCTCGGGCTCCTGCTCCTCATCTGGTAGCAGGGCCTTAGTCAGGCTCATCTACTTTGATAATCTCCAAGTCTGGTCATCAGGTGCTTAGCGCATAGCTGTGCCCTTTTCCAACTGAGTGTCCTGTGCAGCTGCCCAGACTTGTCTTTCTCACCTTCAGCTGCCAGCTAAGTGCTAAATTGGTAGCGGTCTCTGAAGAGTTATCAGCTCCTTTCCTGTAAGGGAGGTCTGTCTGGGAAGGGTTTCCTCACACACCTCCCTATTTGGCATCTCAGGACTTCACTTGAAGTAAAAACCATGCTCAGTAACACTTCTCCTCTCCAGAGCAGAACATAAGACAGTCATGGCATGTCTGCAGATCCACACAGCCCATTATCTCGTCTCCGACAGCAGTGAAGAGTGTGATGCCTGGGAAAGGGAGAGCAAGCCATCATCCGCTGATCACCCTCTAGACACAGAGAACTTCTTAGCCTTCCACGCCAGTGCTCTACAGCATCTCTGCTCAAGGCTGAAGGGTTCCTGTTAATTCAACTTCTTGTACAGAAGCTGGTCCAGCTCAACAATGATCCTTGTTGCTCTTCCCTGGACAATTTTTATGCTATTATAGTTTCTGAGGTTGATGGGCAGCCAAAACTGTCCTTGTAAGCCTGTGTTTGGCTAAAGTGAGTATTCTGTCAAAGAGGGTTTAGCAGCTGACTTTCTCAGGAGCAAGTCACTGAAAAGTCTAAATGTTTCCTTCAGAGATGAATGACCTCCTCTAGACAGCAGATGGAGTTGTCATTCACTGTTGAGATGGTCTTCTGCATGCATGGTGTTCCAGCTAGAAGGAAAGAGGGAAGAACAAAGTGACGCGATAATCTGCCTTGGCCACTAGTGAGAAGGGAAATTTCACAGCAGTCATTTCTGAAATCCAGAAAGCAAGAGAGGTAGAAAAGGATCGGTTTGCTTTCTACTATACTTTTGTGAAGATGAAAGAGGAAGAGTCTTTCTCAGTATCTCCATCACTGACAGGCTTTCAGTGCCTTCTCTCTTCTATTCAGCCCATTTGTCTACCCGACCTTGTCTTCCAGAGCACTACAGTTGTGGGCCATCAGTGCTATGGGCAGAACAGCCCTTTCTACAAGGGAGATCTCTAGGGTCATGAGAACAACCACCCAATCACCCAAATTAGCCTAACGATACTGCAGGAAAGCATTCAGTCCTGCAGCATTAACAAAGCATAATCTCTGAGCTCACAGCATGAAGACAGCATAAATCATAGGCGGACTTTCAAGAGGGCGTCTCTGGAGCCTGATCTGGTTGGTCTGCAAAGCAATTTCCCTGGGAATCAACCTGGTTTTCAGTTCAACCTCTTTTGGTTAGCTACCTCTCCTTGTCAGACATACTGCCTAGCCTAGAAGCAATACATCCTCACAAGACTTACATGTGCCACAAAGCTACAAAGGAAAAAAGGAATTTCACGCTCACAGAGCCTCAGCAATATCTATACTACTTTACTACTCACACAAGTAAAACCAGACCCCAAATAATTTTTCTAGCAGGACAGATTGTGTTCTGGATTTCTGCGATTTCCTGTGCTTTATAGTTTTATTTTCAGAGCATAAGATACTTTCTTTGAAATCTTGTTCAATCCCTCCCCATGCAGGCAGTTTCACAATTCCCTTGCGTTTCCACCTCCTCTTTGTTTTCTAAAACATTTTCTGGGTGTTCTGACTGTGTATCGCTTTCCTCAGTCATGTTTCTACTGAAGAAGTTTCTACTTCACTGCTCACTGCCTCTTTGTGGAAGAGGTTCGAGACCTCTTCTGCCAATTAAGACAAATCTGGTTCCCTGTGCAGCCACAATTACTACCACTGGCTTCATTTTATACCAAACGCTCCATGTCT